CTCTCTCTCTGGGGGATATTCTCACTTCTTTATTTCAAATCCCTAGCCCATCGCTTTCCTCGTCTAGACCATCCCTTTCCTCTTGTGATCCGAAAATACAATGGTCTTTATTTCCCTTTTAAGGAAATGCCCCTCTTCCATGGTTTTTTTAATTCAGGAAAACTTACTGACTTCAAGCAGTTTCTGAAGTTCCTCTGCCAAGAACCCAACAATAGGGATGGACAAATCTTGATGACCTGCTTGAAATATAGAAGGGAGCATGCACTTAGTATTGTTGGAATCATTTGCTTCCCTCAATCAAGATCACCAAGAGACCTTTGGAGAGGAGAGGGGTTGGGGGAGATTTTGACCTGTCCCTGCTTCCTGTTCAAATTCCTGTTTGAATCTTTCACACTTGCAAGTAGTTTCACACTTAAATTTATTCCATCACATAGCTCACTTTTTTTTTCTGCAATATGTATCTACAACTGCTCATGTGAATTAGACTGGGACAGGTAGCTTATATTGGAACATTAAGTTGGGGTGGAAGGGAAAACTTGAAGCATGGAATCACAGCCTGGCCACAATGGTTGGTTGAGAGTTGGAAGAGGGAAGAGAAAGATGATGGTGTGTGAAAGGCCAGCAGGCTATTTGTGCCCCTGTTCATGATGATGGCAGATAGAGCATTGCTTTTCATTCCTTGCCTACGACCCACTGAAGTAAAAATACAAAAACAAGGGTAGAAATAACGGTCTTGAATTTAATGAGAAGGAAGACTCACTAACATGAAGTTTCAACACATTTTTGAAAGGTAGGAACTCTATTATAGATGAAACACATAACTGAAGCGGGTGTTCTGTAGGACACAATAAATCTGGCTGCCCTGAAGGGCCTGAGGGAGACTCTAGTTTCTGTAGAGAACAGAAGGGTAGGCTTATTCAGAAAGACTAAAGTCTGAATCCAAAACACCTGAACTGCTTTGGCTTTTCATCTCTTCCTACACCTGCCCCCACCAGGCAAACTGCACAGTCAACTCAGAAGGAAAAAAGAAAATACTGAATGGCTCTTTAATGAAATTAAATTACTTGTCTAAGGAAAGTTAAGGCTTTTCCTGTGAAAGCCTACCATGAAAAATGATGCTACAAAAGAGACGTGGGAAATCTTGAGTGCATGTGAAATGTAGACAGTCTACATGGCACTCAAGGTCCTAGAAACTTCAGGGCACAGCTGGACAGTACATGATGGTTCAAACTGAAGCCAAGGAACATCTTAAATCATCTTATGTATTAATAATCGATAGAGTGAAAGTGAAGGCAAGTGGCTTAACCTTGAACCTTGCAACTCTACCTTAGTGCCTTCGAGTCATGTTGAGACCATGGACAAGAAAAGGTACTCCATGCATACTAAGTAGGCCAGCATGAAAGGTACTGTGGTCCTTGTAACCGAAGCTAAGTTTACAACTTAAAAATAAAACGAGGTTCAAAGTTTGCAACTCGGTTGCGTTGAAGGGCATAACCTGAACGACTTTTGTAATTAAATAATAAGTTTAACTGCCAAAAAGCGAGACCTGAAAGGGTGGTGGAAACTTAGAGGAAAATATTTAGGAACAAATATGTTTCTTTTATAAACGCCTAATCATTGTTTGATTTGCAACAATGTGAATATTACTTTGTTGGAAAATTAAACTTTAAAATGATGATGAATTCCAAACCTTTCTTTTGATAGCAGGTGTACCACAGACTCTGTGCGTGACCTTTGTACCCTGGCTTTGCCATGAGCAGTGTGAGTCTTGTGTGACAAAGGCAGCCACTGGCTCTGCCACAATCAGGAAACTGCTATTGCCCTGCCTGGCAACTGCTGCCACCCTGAATCTCCCGGGCTCTACCACAATCCATGAGTATTTCTAATAGTTGAAGTGTAGATTGTCCCTGGAACATCCCTGCAATGGGCCCAGGAAACACAGCTGTTCACTTCTCGGCATTGTAGGCAGAAGAAAGCACGGCAAAGTGTTGTGAGGAGCAGAGCCAGTTTCCAGTAGCCCAGGAGACACCATCACTTTCCCCGGTTTCCTCAGCCGCACTGCAGAGTAACTGGAGGGTTTGGCTTGTTGTTAAGTCTAACTTCTTTAAGCTACAGGGTCTGAGCTTAGCTGAGGTCTCTCATTTAAATGCAGTTGTCACTAAATGTTTTCGAAGGTGAAAATAATCTCTCGAGTGTATTTGTTTGCACAGGCAGCATCACTGTCCACATGGAAGCACGAGGATCTATGAAAATTCCGGCACCTGTTACCCCACAACTGAATACTTGGAAAAATATCCTATGTATGGCAATGTTCTTCCACCCCAGAGTCTTAAACCCAAGCAAGAGTTCCAAGCATGCCGTGGTAAAATGGAAGGAATAACGACATTTAAGTAAATATTCAGCAACTGTTTGCTTTACTCATTTTCCTCCCAAATTGGTCTTAATAGGATTTTCTCACCAGTTAAATTGAGCTAGTTAGCTATTTCAAGTTGAACCAACAAGAAGCAAGAAACTAGTTTGGTTACCACTTGAGGAAAAGAAATGAGAATTGATAATGAGAAAAAAAAAAGTTGCACTGATTTTTTTTAATCTTCTAAAGTCATAATAATCTGCTTCCAACTGTCAGCATCACCTGTAAGCATCCCATGGTCTCGTAACTGATCTATATCTACTCCAGTTTCTGCCTCTCCGGTCAGCTTCGAGTCCCGTAGCCTGCTACAATAAAATGCAGATTGAACCTGTCATCTCCCTGCTTGGAATTCTTACTCCCATTGTGTGTCCAATAGACTAAAGTCTGTATCAGAATCCCAGCCCACGTGGTCCCTTCCCTGTGCGCTAGTTTCCTGTCACTCCAGTGCCCTTGGCTCGCTTCTGGGTCCCCCAGTGCTCCGTTCATTCTCTGAAAGCCCCAAGTGCCCCTTGTCACAGAACCTTTGAGGACACTGCCCCGGCAGGAGTTTTCCCTTGTTCCCTGGTAAATGTCCCTTCTCCCAGGGGCTCTCAACTCACCACTTCCTCTGAAAAACTGCCCCTGGCACTTGACTCCGTTTTCAGGAGAGATGGAGTTCCCCTGTATAAACACCTTCCTATAATTTTTCATTGTCTGGAGGCAGGAGCGAGATCTATTCTTAGTTTTACTTCTAGAAACCTAGTACCATGCACCACGGAGTAGTTGCTCAATATTTGTTCAGTGGTGATGGGCAACAAAGTTCAAAGGCAAAGTGCTGGTTTTTTTCTTTTTTTAATCGTTTTATTA